TGTATGTAGGATCCGAACCCTCGGCGGGAGCGCCGCCGCACTTCCCAAGCAGCGCACTGTAGCAGTGCGCCACCGGGCCGGCCCACATTTTATTTTTGAGAAGTAAAGAACTGTTTCATTTGTCTTTTTTTCTTTTGGTGGCTGGCCAAAATGGGGGTGATATCCCTTTTTTTCAGCCTAAAAATTAATAGTAAATAATTATAATGAAAAAATTAGTACCAGTGACTAACTACACCTACTAATAAGGATGGAAAAGCTACTTTAAAGTTACTCTAAAGTATATTTTTAGGGGCTGGCCAGTTTGCCCACTCGGAAGAGAATGGTACTGGTAATACCAAGATCAAGGGTTCAGATTCCCATACCAGCCAGCCATCCACAAAAAAAAAAAAAAAAAACAAAGATAAAATAATATTTTTAATATTTATCTACAATTGATTATCAAAATACTGTTCCCTACCAGACAAAATATTACTTTTATCCTCAGTACTAAGTGTCCACAACCCTAAATGCTATACTTAAGGCACAAATATCCATACTTCTTTTGTACAACAAAATTATGCTTTATGCAACTCAACAACAAAACAATTCTTGGTTAGTATCAAAGTCAGAACTTGAGAAAAGAGAAAACAATTAGGTATTTACTGCAAAATTCTTCATTTAAATGATTGCTACTTTCTTCATGTAGCAAAAATAAAGCTGACTTTTCTAAAAAAAGAATGTAGAGAAGAGATAAAAGCCATTGACCCTCTACTTCTCTTATTCTGATATGAAAATTATCCTAAGCTGTAAGATTCCCAAGAAAACAAACTATAATGGGAAGATGCTAAGCTCTGCTAACCATGGGGTTCTCCACCCACCTCTCCCCCCAACTTTTCCCATAAAAACAACCTCTACTAATAAAACAAAGCATCCTTTACAAGTAACTACCTACAGTATCCTATCTCTCCTTGAGTGCTTACCAAAATCTGATTTCTGGACAGCTGACCCAAAGTTTGTTGATTTTTTACTGATCTTCAGAAAGCCACTGACTGGCTAAAGTCTTACTGGTGAACAGAGTCAAAAATCACATGCCCCTGCCATACTTTACAGAATGAGGAGTTGGACAACACAGTTACGTTTGGCTGCACTGTGGTGAAACATATGAGGTATCTTCTTTTTTCTTCAATCAGCCACTTTTGGGCTGAGTAGCTCTATTACATCTTCAAAAAACTGAGCACCAGTTCTTGATGGAGACAGAGGAAGGTCACTGAGGAGGTGGTTCAGCTCAAGAGCTAAGTGAAAAATGTCTTTTGATTCAGTCCTGCTTGTGGATAGAAGTCATCTTCTGGATGGAAGAGGGAGTGAGATGACCTAGAGTCTTGAATTGGTGGATCTGCAGGAACAGAAACTAAATACAGTGGAGACCTCTTAACTGAGTAACACCATGAGATGGATTTCCTGACAATGTGTCAATATAAACTAAATATAAAGATTAAAAATGTGCACTGGAAGTGATCATGCACTTGTTTTTCCAGTATCAAAAGAATTTGTATCATTTTATGAATAAATGTTTTCCCCATAACTATAGAAAAATTTACAGAAAAAAATACCACTTAAAAAAAAAAAAGACCCATTCAAACAAAAACCTATACACTTAGCCTGTGTGTCATATCCTCATGTAAGGTCAGTTCTTCTTTCAAATGACTTTTCTCCATACACACAAACTATAATCTGTCTACTCCATATAATGTCAGTAGTAACATTACATCAAATTTTAATTTGACATGGATCTTTGAGATTTTTTTAATCCCCTAGAGAAATGGAATTCAAATACACTCAAGGTACTAAATTTAGACTGGAATAATCTACCTGCTTAAAAATGCTAAGACTTGCATTAACCAAATTTACTCCTATTTATCAATCAAAAGGAGAGTATTTATCATGAAGTCAGGCAATCTTTAAATGTGAGTAGTGACCACCTCAAATTTCCCTCAAACCCTGAACTGCAAAGAACTAAAAAGCCCACAACCAGATTATACTGTGGATGTAATTTAAATTTTCTATATATAAACAAGAATTCTGATGAACATTTAATTACTTACTTCTACTTAGAATTTGATATGTAAATTTACTGTATATACTCTCATAATTATTAGACCAGGGGTCAGCAAATTATGTATGCCCTGTTGGCCAAATCCAGCCCATCACTTATTTTATAAATAAAGTTTTATTGGACACAGCCGTGCTTTTTGGTTTATGTATTGTCTATGGCTACTTTCATGCTGCAATGGCAGAATAGGTAGTTGCAACAGAAAGCACAAAACCTAAAATATTTACAACTGGCCCTTTATAGAAAAAGTTTGCCAACCCCTAATACAGATAATTATTAAACATATGTAATACAGTTTACACCTTAAGTAGTTTTGAAATAAAAAAGAAATAACATGTAGAATTAAAATTAGATATAGGTCAACAATAACAAACTTACCACAAAAAGAAAACAAAAGTAAAAGTAAAATAAGTTGTAAGAGGAAACTTTATCTGGCTTTGACTAGGTAAAGAATTTGATCCTATCTTAATATATATAATATACATATAAATGGTATGAAACTGACATATTCAAGTGTATATAGATAAATGCCATGGAACTGTTCATTTGAAAAACGATTAATTTTATGTCATGTGAATTTCACCTCAATAATTTTTTCTTAAATAAGAATATATACAGTATTTTACAGATTTCTACCTTTAAGTGGGCCACATTATAGTATAGTGGTTAAATATGTAAGTTACATCTTACCTAATAATGTGGTTTCTCCAAAATCTCTTAGATCATCTCAGACCCTTGTGTATATTTCTTCTTTGCCAGTAGATGGAGACAACACCACTGAAAGTTTAAAAGACATCATTCCCTGTTTAAAGGGAGCTTGCTGGTCTGAAAACTGGGGGAATCCTAATCCCCAAAGATTTCTTCAATTATTTTTTTAAAAAGTAGACAGAATGGCTATGCCAAAACCAGAAATCCAAGGGAATTTACCCAATATTAACTATGGACATCCTCAAAAATTTCTAAAGGAGAACTAAACTCTGTCCATGATATAGTAACTAAATCATAATATTAAAATACAATCATCTCTATAGTTTGTAAAATTCACACTTCCTGCTCACTGCTCCTGTTTAGGCAAGATCATTTGTCTGTTTCAGAAAGTATAACTCAGAATATATAAGAGAAAAAAGTTCTCTGAATTCCACAGGGGTGGATGCAGCAAATATATATATACTTTTTGTAAATATGCACTGCTAGAAAACTTTTATTCAAAATAAGACAACTATCCAGATCCACATGAAATAATAAGAACTTTAAAAAGAAGAGAGTTAAAGCAGAAATGGTGGAAGCAATAAGAAAAAAATTTGATTTTATGGTCATACTGAAAAGAAACATTCATGAAGGGGAAGAATCAGATTTATCTACTTTCCAAGTTTCTTATTTCACTATTAAAAATTACTAAACAGACCAAAAACCATCTGTAAGAAATAAATTCCAAATCTGGAAGCTTAGTAAGTTATCTCGAAAACATTATTTACCTATATTTCTCAAATAACAGCTTTCCTCTCCAAATTCAAAGCCCTAATGCCATTGTTTTCAAGTGCAATCTTGCAAACAAAAAGCGAAACAAAAAGGTTATTGAGCTAAAAAGAGAAAACTAAGACATTGCTATACTATTTATATTTACAGACTCCTGTTCTAAACAACAACAACCTATTTAGCAGAAAATGTCTTAAGAGTTGCCTTAAACCAAATAATAACCAGTTAAAAAGGAATAGAAAAATCTTAAAATTCTTTATTTTTAATGTACATTTTGCTCATCTTCTGACTATATATCAGGACTAAAAGCAGTTTACATAAAAGGGAACTGAATACAGTATTCAGATATTACCATACCTACAATAATACCTATCTAGGTTAAACTAGAACTGACAATAATTGCTAATATAAATCCTCTTATGACTCATTACTAAAGTAGGTAAAATAGCCCTGAACCACAAACTTTTATTTAACTCTGAAATTTCATGATTCCTGTGACATAGCAACTATTATCTGCTAAGAAAACCATAACCACATTCTAACTACCTATTAAGAGCACATAAACAACCATAAACAACTTTTCACTATCCAGACAGTAAACACTCTGTGGCTTTATTTTAACTAATCCTTGGGTTGGCTTCCTGTGGACAGACAACAGATTTTTGACCCTTTCCTAATCCTTCAACAACTGATATGTATGAAGGTAATGCTAATTAAATAATATAACTGCCAACATGGAAAGACACTTTGCAGTTTTCAAAGTGTATTCATTTACAAATTCAATCATATGACAGGAAAATCTTAAACACAAAGTAAAAACTATGGCCATCACACATACTCCACAGCAAAATGTTAATAATATCTGCATTTTGCACTGTTACCTGTCCATCAGCACAGATGAGGGAGAAATGCTTATACTCAAATTCTTTAAGTAAAGCAACAGCTATAAGAGTATCCTGGAATTCTGTTATTAATATAAAGTAGATCTACCAAACTGCAATTTTACAGACCCCACATTACCACTACAAGAAATAAAAATGACCAACAAGGAATGAGTTTTCTTTATATTAATTGAATTTTTGAAAAAAAAAAAAAAAAAAAAACCCACCAGGTGTTAACCTGGCATGTTTCTCTTGGGGATCTATTATGATGTCAGTGCTCCTGCCTCCACCTGCTGGCAAACAGATAATGAAACTAGCAGAGATCACTGGGTAAGAAAAGTTAGTTTTTTTTAGGTAACAGATTAATGTTGTTTTATGCTAGTATCTAGCATGACTACTTTGTGTTAATAAATCACTAATATATTAATTAAATCCATGAGGTCTACAGAAAAACACATTTAATGTCACCAAAAGAAAATTACCAAAGATTTCTTTCTTGGTTCAGAACGTTACCTAACAGGCAAAAAAATCAACTAAAAATTTTTTTTAGTTACCTGATAAATGACATCTTGGAAAAGGACTGGAAAAGTAAGTGCTGCATCTTCTAGCTCATTTAGACTACAGTGTACTAGTGTTTCATCCTTAAAATAAAAAACACATATTGAATGAAACAAGATATTAAAAGAAAGTTCAAATCATAATTTTATATATTCATGATCACCAAAAACATTTATTAAAGCACCGATTCATATGTATAATTTTACATTTATAATATATTACTCTATGTGGCATAGCAATTTTGGATAGAATTTTCTAAGGCCACTGGTTCTCAAGTATAGTTCTTGGACCAGCAAGCAGCATCAGAATCATCTCAGATCTAGTTAGAAATGCAAATGCAAATTCTCCAGCTCCACTTATGATTCAGAAAGTGTCAGTGGGTGAGTGAGTGGGTGGGTGGGAGTGTGTTTGGGGTGTGTGTGTGTGTTGTGTGTGTGTGCGCGCGCGCGCGCGTGTGCGTGTGCTGTAGTTGCAAAGTTTCTGTTAAAACCATATTCATATTACTTTTTATTTTACAATTAGCAAATGCAAGTTTAGAATCTAATTACTTAAAATATATATACATTCTATTCATATAACTATTTATCGTGAAAAAAAAAAAATTTTTTTTTTTTTTTTTTTAAAGATTACCGGTAAGGGGATCTTAACCCTTGACTTGTTGTTGTCAGCACCACGCTCTCCCAAGTGAGCCATGGGCCGGCCCTATTTATCATGAAATTTTTTTTTTTCCCTTTTTGTCTTTTTTTGTGTCCGGCAACGGATCGCAACCCTCAGTGTCGCGCCCATACCGGACCGGGACCGGCAACGGGATCGCAACCCTCGGTGTCGCGTCCGCACCTCGCTCAGCCAGTGAGCGGGAACCGGTCTGTATGTGGGATCCGAACCCTCGGCAGGAGCGCCGCCACACTCCCAAGCGGCGCACTGTACCAGTGCGCCACTGGGCCGGCCCTATCATGAAATTTTTTATAAAACATCTTACTTTAGGAACAGATGTTTTAGGATCTCATGAACACGTTCATATACATAGTTTGACTAAATAGGAGTCAATGAAAACTTTGGTGATCTTTGATTACCAAATCCTGTTTTCTCATTAAGAACATAAGAAAAGGGCTGGCCCGGTGGTGCACTGCTACAGTGCGCCGCTTGGGAGTGCGGCAGTGCTCCCGCCGAGGGTTCGGATCCCACATACAGACTGGTTCCTGCTCAATGGCTGAGCGAGGTGCGGGAGCAACGCCGAGGGTTGTGATCCCATTGCCAGTCCCGGTCCAGTACGGGCACAACACTGAGGGTTGCGATCCATTGCCGGACACGAAAAAAGACAAAAGGAAAAAGAAAAAAAAAAAGAACATAAGAAAAGGAGGATCATTCAATCTAAAACAGGTACAAATATTTATATTTCTCAAATCCTGAATGTTCAAATAAAGCAGCTTAAATAAAGTTGCTAATAACCATCTCCAAAAAGTTTCAATGCATTTTAGATCAATGAAAATGAAATACAAATGTTCATACCTTGTGATTCCACATCTTATTATTAGCTGAAGTATTTACGTCAACCTAATGTTAAACTTTGAGGAGGCAAAAAGCAAAAAATACTCTAGATATGCCTCATTTTCTTTAAATATTATGTCAAACTATGCACACTTCAAGATATTCTCTTAGCATCTTAAGAAAAGGTATCTCTATTCTACAACTGCATAATCCTGCTACTTCTTCATCTATAGCCTATTAAATTCTGATCATTCTTCATCTTTTTCTGTAAAATTATTTATGCTCAGCCTATTCTTATCTTTCCTTATTTACCTTCCTATTGGATTCAAAATAATATGGCCAAACCTGATATCATAACATCAACTCCTAACATCAAAATCTAGCAGGGCCGAGCCCGTGGCGCACTCGGGAGAGTGCGGCGCTGGGAGCGCAGCAGCGCTCCCGCCGCGGGTTCGGATCCTATATAGGGATGACCAGTTCGCTCACAGCGCTCACTGGCTGAGCGTGGTGCGGCCGATCTCAAAAAGGACAAAAAAAAAAAAAAAAATCTAGCAAAATCCCTTTTTCATTTCTCCACTAAATTGCACATCAAATCTGAACTACTCATAGTTTAAAAACTTTTCTTTCCCTTTTAGTTTATCCCCTTATCTTAGGACCTCTAGATCCCCTCTTTCATTTCTTTCTAGCTAGTCAAAGGCAAAGGTGCTGAATTCTCAAAACACAACTATACATGCTAATTAGAAATTTAAAAGAATAGGTTTTTCCCTCAAGATAAATTTTCTGAGAACTAAACCATATCTTAAGGTATAAGGGTACTGTACTGGATTGAATTATGTTCCTCCAAAACTCACTGAACTCTGAATTGTGTCCCCTAAGTTTTATGTATTAGAAACTTAGCCCCCACTTTGACTGTTAAGAGGGTGGAAAATCCTATTATGGTAACTGAAAGGTGGCACCTTAAAGAGATGAATGGATTGTAGGACCCTGCAGTAGTGAATGGATTAAAAATGGTGGTTGGGGCATGGTTCTGAGGGCTTTAAAAGAAGCGGAGAGTCTCTCTCTCTCTCTCTGCTTTCTCTGCTTCCGCCATCTTGCAATGTGAGACCCCTGGGTCACTGTCACTACCACCAGATGGATTTTGGACTTCCCAACCTCAGAAACTGTAAGCAATAAATTTCATTTTCTTATAAATTACCCAGTTCCATGTATTTTGTTATAAGCAACAAAAACGGACTGATACAGGTACCAATAACACATGCTAAATAATAAAATATTTTCCAATATAAGATACATTTTTTGCTAACATCAAGAAATTGTAGGCATAGAGTATATGTGAATATTATATATGAAATTTGACTAGCAAAAGAATGAAATACTCAGTTTTCAAAGCTCTTCTGGTACCCTAAAATATAAATTTTAAAATCACATTGAGAGAGTATATTAAAGGCTTTATTAGGCAGCATTAAGGGAGTGTGCTTTTGAGACTATTTTAGAAAGTTTACCTGTATTAGATAATATGTAAAAATAAGAATAGGAAAAGGAGTGTGGTCTTGCATGTGGTTAAATAATTGGGACCCAAATTATATTTAGTCCTTGAGGGAAATATGATCCTGACAAAAAGGGGGGAAATCTAAAGTAGGAATGATTCTAATGAAATGAAATTATAATTTCTTGGGAGAGAAAATAAATCACAAAGTTCTCAGGAGTATGGGGGAAAGAACTCATTTAAATACAAAAATAAAAGTCTAGCTCTTTTGCTCCCTGGCTTCCTGAGGATAGACCACCATCATGAATGACAGTAACTATCCAGAGCAGGAAGTTCACGACCATCTGACTACCTCAGAGGAAACAAATGGTCATTGATGTTCTTCACCCTGGGAAGGTAATGGTACCTAAGACAGAAATTTGGGAAAAACTAACCAACATTTACAAGACCACCGGATGTCACCTTTTTATTTGAATTCAGAACCCATTTTGGTGGTGGCAAGACAACTGACTTTGTTTGGCATGATTTACGATTCCTTGGATTATGCAAAGAGAAATGAACTCAAACATCGACTTGCAAGACAAGCCCTGTAGGAGAAGAAAAAGACCTTAAGAAAACAGCAAAAGGAAAGCAAGAACAGGATGAAGAAAATCAGGGGGACTGTAAAGGCCAGTGCTGGTGTCGGCAAAAGAAGTAAAAATTCTACACTGAGTTTATCTACAGTGATTGTGTGGATTTTTCACAAGAAGATTAATAAATTGTAAAAAAAAAAACTAATAATAAATGAATAAATATATGAATAAAAGTCTATAATTTATTCTCAAAGGGTACCTGATACCAACCAAACTGGGGACTCTAGCATTAGACTATACTTAAATAAAAACATTTCAGAACACGTAGTAACATATCTATAGTAAGTGTGATGGCTACTCATTCACTTGTATTGAGTAATTGTGCACTATTACTTAAAAAAAGAATTTAACCCCTTTATTCTACCTCTACAGATAATATACTTACCAAGTCTAAAACTAGGGAGAATTCTGGTGTGCTTCTTGTTTTCAATGGAAGAGCAGGTTTCCTATTTAGTTGTTCTTCTGTCAGTGGTGGAACATGTTTGATGAAATAATAGCTATAAATCAAATTTTTAAAAAATTTCAACATTTCTACTTTTTATAAATATAAACACATATGAAATTCAGCCCGTTTTAAAATCTTTAATTAAATAAAGCACATTTAACACAGTAAACCAAACTTTAAAAACATGTAAATAAAAGTGAAAATACACAAATTAGTATCTCTGTAACTCAGTAAACGTATTAATATCTACAGGTCACATGCTCTTGGCAATATACCATTTAGCCATCCCTCCATGCATGTACTTTCATTATGCTCCAAAAAGGAAATAAAGAAAACAAACAACACCCCCCCCCCAAAATAATAATAACTCACGGGTCAAATACTTCCCAGTCTTCTTCATAGGTGGCCTCTGCATGAGCTGATGAATAACCACTATCTGGAGTTACTGGTGCTATTTAATAAAGTGAAAAACAAAATAATACTTTTATTCAATGCTTTCTATGAAGTATACATTTTTATTTCTTCTATATAAGATCTTCCTGAAGCCCTGTGAATTTTATTTATGATAGAAATACTTTATAAACAGCATTTAAAAGCAGATTATTAACATATAGAGCAAACTTTAGATCCAAAAAGAAAAATTACCACTACAGACAACATGGCAAACTAGGTCATGGCTCATAGAATTAAGATCCATATCAGCTAAGAGAAAATTTACTACTTATCACTAGAAAAATACGCTCCACAAAAATTTGTTTTCTACCTGGATGATGTTTATATGTAATAACCATAAAAATTTCACAGTGCTCTTTTAGCAAGCAGTAATACCTTACAAAGTACCTTCCTTGTATATGCAGGCAGACAATAAACATATGCTGACAACAGACCCAAATGTTTAGTTTTTAAACTTGAGATCCATGAAGAGTCTTTAAGAGGTCCATGAACCCCTTAAGGATTTATGAAAAAATATTGCAGATACATTTTTCCAGGAACTTCAAAGCTATCTATGATCTTGGAAAGTGAAGAAATTATGCCCTATGTAAATCCCTGCTTTAGAAGACCTACTATTTTACCTCTAATTTACAAGCAACTTAAAAATAACCAAGAAGCAATTCTACAAGGTATGCCACATAGTTCATTCTCTATTTGAGCTAAGATTGTATCAATTGGTGGAGCTTTACAAACTATGCTGGGAATTTTGTAAGATAATAATTACAACTGAAAGTGAAGGACAGGACAAAGGTAACTTACAAGCTAAACAGATAATGTCTCAGAGATAAAAATTTAAGGTGGAACCCAATAAAAATTGTTGCAATCTTTCTGTAGAAATGGAATGTTGATGGATAAAAGTCTTTCGGGACAAAAACTAACCTTTTTTGCAATTATCATGTATTTCTGAGATGAAGTCAATAATGTGTGTATATTCAATGAATGGCATCAGATGTAAAGCAGAATTTCTGTTCCTCTGTAACAACCTTATGCCTCTAACGGTTCATTAGCAAAAGGTAATAATGGAAAATACATCTTCTAAGCACTTTACTGTTTCAAATTCCTATTAACCTCAGAGAAAGGAAAGAATATTTTATAGAGTGCCTACATGGTAAATTTTTTTCATATTTCATTTCACTTAGACTTCAAAACCCTGTATTACTATTAGCACTTTAAAGCAAAGAAAATGGTTTCCAACTGTCTCAAGAGCTTAAATAATTTGTCCAAAGTCACACAGCTAATAAGTAAATGTTAGAGCCAGCCTCCTACCTTCTTCTTCTCTTTGGCTACATTCTCAAAGTTAAGGAAAAGTAGTACTTTTGTCACTCATACCTATCTGTTAAGATCAGCATAACTGTTACCTCTATCAATCTTGTGATCACCCCAATCAGAATAACTGCAATGTGCCACCATGTCATTTTGTTTATTTATTTGTAATAGCACTTGCCACAGTAATTTTTCTGTATTCCTGGCTCTTCAATTAGATCATGAACTCTTCATCAAGGAGCATATTTTATTCACCTTTATCAAAAGATCCCATTACAATAAATAGGTGCTCATAGATGTTAGGGGAATAAATGAATGTGATAACTGCAGTAAATCTTACTTTTCCCTTCTAGAAACCACTAAAGTTACAGAAATCCCTTCTCTATTCACAAATGGCAAAAAAAAATTGGTCAATACAAAGGCTTATACAGAAGCACAAAAATACAGAACAAACATCAAACAGGATGCCAAGAGCCCTAGACTTTAGTCTATACTTTACCATTCATTAGTCTTTCAACAATGGACAAAGTTATCAGCATAAAATGATAGGTCAAAGGTAGGTTAATTTGCAAATCTTTCCCACAAAAGAATGAGCTATCTGTTCATAATCTTATTGACTTGCTTGTTAGGTTCAGCATTATTCTTAAATTTTGAGTTTAACATTATAGATATGAATCTTTTACTTGATGAATTTAAAATAAATCTTTTCTCTATTTTGCTGATTTTTTTCTTTGCTCTAACCAACTAACTGAACAGCCCCCATTTTTCCTTTTCATATTGGTATTACTCGGTTGCACTACACAGAAATTTCATAATTATATCCATTTTTTTCTTTAAATGTTTGCTGTTATTTCAATTTTTAAAAAAATTTCCCATTACATTCAATAGAAATAAATTATTCTACTTCTTTATACCAAACTATATCTCTTAATCAATACATATTTACTGGGCTCTCTCAAATACCTGGCACCTCAAGGAATAAAACACAAATCTAAAATAAAATCTTGGTTCAAGAGGGAGAAGATGGTCATCGCCAGTTTTATTTCTGCTTTTAAGAATGATAGAACATAATTTCACTTGTACCTTACATATATCTATCTATTTACCACAGCCCTCAGAAGTAATTCTTGATTTCATGTGCTTCCACATTTCAATGACAACTAACTCAGGAATCCAGCAATTATGTTAGTCTTATTTAAGCATCCAGAGTTAGGCTGCAAAGTATGGGTGTAGGGAAAGATCCAGGAACAGAAGCCTCTTTGGGAGGGTGTCATCTATGTACGAAATATGAAGGTGTGAGATTGCCTTTAGGTAAGGACCTCTGACCTAAGGGTCTAAGAATGGTGCAATTGTAAGCATGTTCACAGACGCAAGCATGTTTTGCTAGTTGTGTTAAATTTTGCCAAGCATTAAGATTTGGTTGACATAAACTGTAAAATGACTGATACTTAGTAAAAACAACATTCCAAAAAATTTCAACATCAAAATGACTTAAAATTTAGGGGATAGTTTTGATTCCAATTTTCATTTTTTTTTAACTTCAAGGAAGAAAAAATTATGCATTTAATCTGCCCATTTTAAAAATACATGAAATACTTTATTTTTACAATCTATTCATGAAGCTACATTACAAAAGGAATTTTCTTCACCTGTAAGGGGTGGGATTTCACGATTAACTGTTTCTTCTGCTTCTTCTAATCCATTATTTATTGATGGCCTCACTTGAACTGCTTGATTTGAGTAAGCTGCTCCATTAGTTGACGTAGTAGTACTGGTAGTGATCTCATCCACCTGTTCCATATCAAGTTGTTTTACTATCTCTTCAGCTTCCACAGCCTGTCCTGGGGAATCTGATCCTGATGTTCCTGAAATCATGATTCAGTGTACTCACCATCAACATTTAAAAACTCTAATATTTAGAAAAACTAAGTGCAATATCACTGTACAATTTATTTAGACTGATAATTCATACAGTAACAAAGTGAAACTTTTCTAGACGTTTCAAACAATGAGGAATAAAGACAATTTTAGGCTAGAGTAGTATTTGTGAACAGAGTTTTTAAGTTTTCAGGCAGTTTAGAAGTCAACAGTTTACAGTCACATAGTCAAACATTTACAGTCAGTCACAATTTATAACCTCTTTTCATTAAAGCAAATATTAAGTACAATTAAGCATTATTTAATAGTAAATATTATTTATTAAATGTTAATAAGCATTTTATATATGTTCTTTATCCCCAAACAGCTCCCGATCCTTTTAATTCAAATACTAACCATCTTAGCCATTGTGGGTAACTGTAATTTTCAACCAGAGGTACTTATCCAAGAATGAGCTAATTATTTCCCTAACCATGAGAACCTTCTTATCAAAAGAACAACAGGGCCGGCCCGGTGGCGCACTGTTACAGTGCACCACTTGGGAGTGCGGTGGCGCTCCCGCCGAGGGTTCGGATCCCACATACAGACCGGTTCCAGCTCACTGGCTGAGCGAGGTGTGGGCGCAGCACCAAGGGTTGCGATCCCGTTGCCGGTCCCAGTCCGGTACGGGCGCGACACTGAGGGTTGCGATCCGTTGCCGGACACGAAAAAAGACAAAAAGGAAAAAAAAAAAAAGAACAACAAATAATTTCTCAACAAAATTCTATCTCCATAACAAATTAAAATTAAAATTGCCAAGTTCTTCTTCCACTATGAAATAATCCCAACTCTTTCCATTTCTTTCTGGAATCCTCCAAATGTCATTTTAAAAACCAAAAATAACAAATTTAACCACCAATATTCTCAACTTCCTTACAGAATATTCCTTCTCCCTTGTGACTTAATATTTAACCTCGTTCCTAAAAACATCTCTTTTCCTGATACCCTTCCATCAACATTCTTTATCCTCCCATACCCAATATACTAATTGAATCAGAATTCATTTATCCCCACTGCTGCTACCAGAACATTGGTTTTCAATTAATGTGCAAAAAATGCCTGCTCCTTTGAGACTGATGTTGTGTGGCTATATAATTCTTCAGTTATCCTCAGTGCTGTCACCTACCATCTATTGCCAGGATCCTCTCAATCACAGAGGAGTTTAACACCTAGCTAGGAGTTTACCATTATATTTAATGCAGCATTTTGTCTAACTGTTATTACAGGTGATGTCAATGACTCAACTAAAGACTAATCCTTGAAGTTTTTGCCCTCTTCAGCTCCAACTATCTTCAGTCATACTGCTCTTTAGCAGTTATTACCATAGCCATAACCGGAACATTTCCACTAAGAAACTGTTCACCTATAAAACGTAAAATTCTTATATATTAATCCCTTACCAAAGCCTCCTAACCTTTGAATTATCTATCTCATACTCACATTATATGTAATCTTCAAGCTTGATAAAGGCCAGTCTCTTTTATTCCAAACACATCCCGCAAAGGCTTCTTTCCCACCCTCCTCATCTAGTTAGACTTCATGGTGTATCACTTAACTCACTTTCAGGCCAGCAGCCTGTATCCTTGCTTCCTTATCCTCCCACTGTCATCCATCAAGAGAAATCCCTCTTGAATCAATCTAATCAACAAGCTTCTCAGGCCCTAGCCCCAGGCTACGGAAGAAAACAGTACAATTATAAAGACTAGTCATATTCCAAATAAACCCCTATAATCTTAACCAGACCCATAGCATGCTGTTCAGTACATTTGTGTGTAGTCTTAGCTCCTTTTTCTCATTCCCCAGAGAAATCATTCTAAACCTTGGCCATTCTCTTCAAGTCCCCGCCACCATGACTATCTCAGTGAATAACACTATCTTCTCTTTCAAAGAAAAAATTAACTATCAAATATCAACTCACTCTCTCCTTCCAATTTCAATTTTAACCTTTTACCTATTCTTTTGATCCCATCCCTGACAATAGTCTCCAGAAACTTTCTCCATTAGTTATTCTCTTTCCTCTATTTTCAATTTTCAACATTTTCCTCAGACCCTTTCCTGAAGCTTAAAAACATGCTTGTCTCTCACAAATACAAATTATCCTTTTTTTTTTCCTTTTTTGTCTTTTTTCGTGTCCGGCAACGGATCGCAACCCTCAGTGTCGCGCCCGTACCAGACCGGGACCGGCAACGGGATCGCAACCCTCGGTGCTGCGCCCACACCTCGCTCAGCCAGTGAGCGGGAACTGGTCTGTATGTGGGATCCGAACCCTCGGTGGGAGCGCCGCCGCGCTCCCAAGCGGCGCACTGTAGCAGTGCGCCACCGGGCCGGCCCCAAATTATCCTTTGAGACTATGTGACCTCTCTGGTTTCTTTCTTTCATATTCAAGCTCATAACAGTAATCTACACTTGCTGTCTCCTTTCCTATTCTCCATTTTACTCTTCTAACTCAAGAATATTAGGCTTCCAAATCTAACCACTCCTTTGAAACTGTTATGGCAAAAGAAACTAATAATCTTCTAATCATCAGGTTCAGTTGTGTCTTTTTAATGCTCATATCCTTTTCTTCTATCTTTACAACTGTTTGGCCCTGGGTTTTAATAATCTCTCTTCCTTTAAACAATTCCAGATAGATCTACCATATGACCCAGCTATTCCATTGCTGGGTATATACCCAGAGGAATGGAAATCATCATGTCAAAGGGATACTTGTACTCCCATGTTTACTGCAGCACTGCTTACAATAGCCAAGAGTTGGAACCAGCCTAAATGCCCATCACTGGATGAGTAGATAAGGAAAATGTATTTCTACACAATGGAATACTACTCTGCTATATAAAAAAAAAAGAAAAAGAAAAAGAAATACTACCATTCGCATCAACATGGATGGACTTAGAGAAAATTCTATTAAGTGAAATAAGCCAAGCACAGAAAGAGAAATACTGCATGTTCTCACTTATTTGTTGGAGCTAATAAAAATAAATAAAGACACAAACAAATAAATGGGGGTGGGGGAAAGAAGACACAACAATCAGAACAATTCCTTGAACTTGTTCAGACAAGTGAATAGATAAGATGTTGATGGGGGTGGGGAGGAATTGGTAAAGGAACACGAAAATCAACTACATTGTATATTGATAAAATTTTTTAAAAAAGAAAAAAGAGGGCCGGCCCGGTGGCGCACTGGATAAGTGCGCCGCTTGGGAAGCGCGGCAGCGCTCCCGCCCGAGGGTTCGGATCCCACATACAGACCAGTTCCCGCTCACTGGCTGAGTGAGGCGCGGGAGCAACACCGAGGGTTGCAATCCCGTTGCCGGTCCCCGGTCCGGTACGGGGGCAACACTGAGTGTTGCGATCCGTTGCCGGACACGGAAAAAGACAAAAGACAAAAAAAAAAAAAAAAGAAAAAGAAAAAAGATAGATACTTGTATCTTAAGTATATAATACATACATGAAAAAAGTATTCACAAATTTTGACAAAAGTCACACACTATTAAACAACTGAATCTATATTTTAACTTTGATCCATCTTCTTGACACAAAATTAAAAGTGCCAAATAAGTTTTGGGGAGGTCATTTTCACAGGGTTTCTATGAAATTTAATTTGAAGTTATGGTAATCTGTGTTTCACAGACACCACTGTGCCAAATAAACTGTCCCTGTGTGCAAATTTATATTTGTCTATTTGTTAAATGAATGTTTTCACTGACTGATTTTGAGATAATCTGTAAGATGTTAACATATATCTATACATTCTTACTATTTGTTATTTTGCCATTTTGCAAGAAAACACTGATTAAAAATATTTTTAAAAAGAAATAGTCTGTCTTCCTTTGGCTTCTATGATATGAAGTCTCTCCTGGCTTCCTCCATGTCTTCTTTTGTTGGTGTCTATTACTTTATTCAGTCCTTAATTGCTTTCCTCTAAGATTCTGGTCTTGGTCTGCTGAACCAAATAAACCATTTACTCCACTGGTTTCAACTAATACCTACTAGCTAATAATACTATGGTCTATTGCTTAAACCCAGAATTCTGAGGTCCACAGCAGAATAACAAATTATAACTAGACATTTTTATTTGGTTGTTTCACGGCATCTCAAACTCAGCATGGCCCAAATTAAATTCAATCATGTATTTCTCAGGAACTTTCTTCTTGAATCTTCTACCCTTATATCATCTTAAATTTCTCCTCTTACACCTCCAATCTATGCCCAGAATTTGTCTATTTTATATCCTTCTATCCCTCCTCTCTTCTCTAATACCACAATTAAGGTTTCATCAAGTCTCACATGGACTACTATAAGTCTGCTAATTGTTCTCCCTGCCTCCGACCTCTTTAGACACTAACCCACACACACTGCTGCCAAAGTGATCTTACAAAACATAAACTTGATCAAATTATTCACCTTTCAATTATCCCCTACTGACTAGAATAAAGTCCAAACATCTTACCTTGTTAGCTCTATAATCTGACTTTTTCATAACTCGTAACTTTTTCATAACCTTATCCCTTCTCAAATCCAGTACTCATCAGTTTCTCAAATACACTATGATGTTTCCTGCTGCAAGGCCTTTGCTCATGCTGCTCCTTCTACCTGGAATGCCCTTTACCATCTTTCATGATTCAACTTTTCTACTAAGCCTTTTATAAGCCACCACCCCTACCACCCAGAAGATAGGACACTCCATTCTTTGAACAGCCCACTGTCCTATAACTATCAGCACCTATATAATTTATTATACTTATTTATTTATATAATCTCTCCCTCTTGTAAAAAGTAAGCTCCTTGAGGGCAGGGATCATGTGTTAATCATTTTTAAATCTCCAGTGACTAATACAATGAACATTGTAGATGTTTAAAAAAAAAAAAATCTGTTGAGTGAACTGAATTTTTCAAAACACCCCTAATATTTATGTATAATTATCCCATTTTGTGGATTAAAAAATAAGAATTTAAAGAACTGATCCAAGGTAACGTAAAGAGTGGAAGACATGGAATTTTAAAACAAGTGTCTAACTCTAAAACCTATTCTTTTTCTGATATACCAGCATCTAGTTCTAGATGTTAATATATGATCCACAGAAAAGAGCTCCATGGTCAAATATGTCTAGGAAATACTGAGCCAAACAAAGCTAAAGGGATTTTAGTTTAGTTTTTTGTTTTGTTTTTCTTGTAGAACTTTGCAGTCTTTTAATATGCCAATGTGCATTATTTTCTCACTCAGGGCATATTTGGTTTTACATTACACCATCCTGCCTTTCAAAAATTGCACCATCATCCATAAGCTTAATTAAGATTATACTTTAAATAATCAAACAACAAGCATTTAATGGTTATCTTACATGTGCCCAATACCATACCAAACACCATGGCAGATACAAAAATAATGACATGATCTCTTGCCCTTAAATAATAGAGACCAAATTATCATGTATGAAATTATGTATTAATCAACAGAAAAGATAGGACACTAGCTAAGCCATTAAAAAAAACAAGGAAAGAAGCTAGTGTTGATTCTTTTGTAAAGACATCATATAATGAAATTTGAACTAGTTAGTTTTACTATTTATCTAAAGCTACCCTAATTCAAATGAATTGAATTATTTATCTAGATTGAAATCCCCAGGGGATAAAAATCAAGGAAATGATAAAAATAAATTGCATTACCAAAAAACTCATCTAGTTTCAGCTCACTTAAAAATATTCGATAAAAGGGCATAAAGAAAAATCATGATTTGTAATAATGAATATGCTAATAATAAAAAGTACTTTAAAAAATATATTCAAAAATGCCATCTTACTCATCTAGAATATTGAAAATGTTTCTGGATTCTCTCCTGTACACTCTCTAACATCTCAACACAGTAAAAAAAGAAACTTTCCCTCCAGCCCACAGTTTATCATCTAGCTTTTCAGATAATGAAAGGAGAGTTCACTACAACAGAATTAAACATAACTTACCTTTATTTCAGTCACTAAAAAAATGCTTTTAAGCTGTATATTTTTAATAAGTTTGAAAACAAACGTAACACTGACAAAATATTCCAGTAAAATTAAAAAGATCTCTTAAGAAATTAGAGAACCTATGAATTTTTTAACCCAAATTATGGTTAATGGTTTATACTTACCATTTTTATTTGCTGGTGAAAAAAAGTTGAAGACAGGAGAAAATATGGTCCCCAACAATGTAGTCCTTGGGGGACTGCCAGAGGAAGGATTATCTTCTAATTTTCCATTTTGTTTTACGTGTTGATTTGTCATTTCATAATTACCAGCTTCTAAGAAAAAAAAGAAAAAAGTTGTGCTCTAAAAACACATTCAGAAATGTTTTATACATGATAAAAATATTTTTTTCGCCTCAAAATCCTTCATGAAAACTGGTTAAGTAAACAGTTCAGGAGAGCTTATTAAAGAAATCCTGAGGTAAATCACTTGTATATCAGATGATCTTTATACATAACTGTATTAATAATGCTATATAGATGCTAATATTTACCGAGTTTTTTTCAACATAGATTTACATCTACAATTATATAGACTGAAAGGTTTCAAATCAACACAACATAACAGAAAACTAAGAAAATTCTTCGTAAGCAAGCAAGCAAATAAGTTACCACTATCAAAAACACAAATGTGGGCCAGCCTGGTGGCGCACTGGAGAGTGCGCCGCTTGAGAGCGCGGTGGTGCTCCCACCGAGGGTTCGGATCCCGTGTGGAGACCGGTTCCCGCTCACTGGCTGAGCGCGGTGCGGGCGCAACACCGAGGGTTGCGATCCCATTACCGGTCAGTAAAAAAGACAAAAAAAAAAAAAAAAAAAAAAAAACCAAAAAAGCAAAATTTTTTTTTTT